TTATCACTGATGTTTGCCAACGTGGCGCGATGATATTGTGATGTTGCGCCACATCACATGACGGGGTGATGTGGTGATGTGGTGCGTTTTGATTGTGTGACGTTGCTCGTAGCTCTTTCCATTTCTTTGTTTCTAGTACCTATGGCCTCCCTAAGAGCCACGACCCCGGACTGCTGCTTTTCTTTTACGTTACATGATCCACCTTCCTTCTTAGTCCTACTACTTAGTCCTTGTGTCAAAGGTTCGTCGGCCTCGAGTTTGGTCCAGAAGTTGTAGCTCTCCGAACGTCTTTCAAGGACGCTACTAGGGGCTCCTGGCCTTACTACTAGGAGCAATGTTCGCTACTAGGAACAAAGGGCATCGCTACTACGCTAGTAGGTTTGGAGGCCATTGCTTTTCAAGACATGGTTTTGTTCTTTTTCACTCTCGCAAAACGCGCTGTCTCTGCAGGATCTCCCCGGTGGCCTTGAGAGATTTCGGGTGCGCCGATCCGATGCGAAGATTTCTTGCAGAGTTCTTTTTGCAGAAACCTAATAGCCATGGCCTCCAAACCTACTAGCGTCCTTGCTCCTAGTAGCGATGCCCTTTGTTCCTAGTAGTTTGCTCTTAGTAGAAGGCCAGGAGCTACTAGTAGCGTCCTTGCTCCTAATAGCAATGGCCTCCAAACCTACTAGCTATATTTGCAGAAGCATGTTTTGATAAATTTGGATAGCACCTTTTACATTTTTGCATAACGTCGCACTTCTAAAATACATTTTACATGTGACATTACCGATGAGACATAGAGAACCACGATATCGCAAGGCATCCAACATCAAAACATGACTTCATTCGGTAGGACGCGAGCGCAGGGACATTTGCATAGCCCCGCATTCTGTCGTCAGTCATGTCCGTTCAAGTCTTGCTTCTGGTGGTGATGTGGTTCCTTTCTACGCGCCGTGATGTCTGCTGGTGGTGAATGGTCTGCCTGCACAATGGTACTCTTCTACCTGCGGTAAAGTGCTAGACGGTCTGTGTGGTGAAGTGATCCGTTTCTTTTCGTCGCATGGTCTGGTGATGAAATGACTCCTTTGTACGGGTCTGGTGAGGTTTCTACCCGTTCGGCAACGGACTTAAACATGCATCTACAGCCAGCTAACATAGGCATCTTGCCCTACCGTAGATAAAGGTTACTACTAGTAAGGCACTTGTTACTAGTAGCGATGCCCCTTGTTTCTACTAGCTTCTTGTTCCTAGTAGTAAGGCCCTTGCTCCTAGTAGCGATGCCCTTTGCTACTGTAGATAAATTCCGGTTGTTATACCCAACTGTTCGATCAACTCCACATGCCAGCTGTTGCATCGGATGATTTTGAGATGTGACAATAAACGGCAAGCTAGTGTCACACAATGTCACGTAGATATTTCCCGTGAGAGCTCGCGCCCCTTAAGGTCAATGAATCCATGAATTATGTTTGACAATGCGCTGCACACTTTGGTACTTTGACTCACTGCGCTGCGGACGTTCTTCCTCGCAGGATGCGCTCAATCTACATCACGTTGGCTCCTTAGGAAAGATGGAAGACGTTGCAAACTCACCTAGTAGAATTGGCCTCCAACCCAGTAGCGATGGCCTCCACCCTACTAGCAATTAGCGATGGCCTCCAACCTACTAGCTCCTCCTTGGTTGCAAACCCTGTCTTCTAGTTCCTCTTCTAACGTCACCGTCCAGCCATACTTGGTGCTTCTAGTTGTGATGCCCTTGGCTACTAGTAGCTTCTTGCTACTAGTAGTAGTGCCCTTGTTACTAGCTCCTACTCGCCTCATCTAACGCCTAGGACGGTGATGTCGCTCTTCGTGGGCATCGAGCGAACACTCTGCTCCCTGATGCAATAGATGTGAGACTCCACCTGCGAGGATGAGGGCCAAGCTGTGCAAACCGAGAAAGGGAGAGCGCCAACCTGTGCAAGCTGTGCAGTCATTTCATGAATGGTTCCGATTCAACACGTTGCATTTCTGATCCCGAAGCTTCTTACTCTATGAGTTCTGCTTGCAACAACGTGTTCAACTCTACTCGTCCGGGACCCATATCCGTAGAGGGCAGGAAAAAACACACACCCCTAGTAGCGTCCTTGCTCCTAGTAGCGATGCCCTTTGCTCCTAGTAGCTTCTTGCTCCTAGTAGTAAGGCCAGGAGGCCCTAGTAGCGTCCTTGCTCCTAAACAAACACCCACCCACACACACACAAACATTCTATAGACCTGTAGAGCCTCCGTCCGCAAGACTTCCGGCCGAATCTTCCGCCAATATGAAACACTTGCCTTCAAGAATGAAATCAGGTTCGCAGAACACCTCAGCAAGTACTTTATTGTATCATTAAAAACATTGTGAACTCAAACCAAGAACCTCTGGCACTTTTTGGTTTTCTTGTGTTTTGCCAAGTTTGACTTGCAGCTCATGGCACAGCCGCATATATCGCATACACACGGTTGTTTTGTTTTCTCTTGGTAAATATTTTTGGAAATACGTTTCGTCCTTCGGTCTTCTGTTGTAATATCCGTCGTCCTGCTGTCCTGCTTTCTCCATTGGATTTTTTTTGGGCTTTTGGACTGATGAAATTGCTTCATAGCTTTCTTCCGATGAAAAACAGTTTCGCTGTCAGTCAGCTCTTTGTTTCCAAAACCGTTCCAAATAGAGTCAAAGGTTTCATTCGTCATCGGGCTTTCAACTCCACTACTTACAAAGTAACAAGGCATATCGTTTATATATAGTTAGTTATATATCCTAATATTTGTTTAAATGTATTTATACTATGTAGTATCAATTTGTGCTTGTAGCACCTCTTACAAGTCCCTAACACGAACCCCAAAACAGTTTCGACATCAAAGTTCATAGGTTTGAACATTTCACCCTTCCAATTTCCCATAGAGTTGCCTTAATTCTAGAGACACCGAGTCTTAAAACCTCAAAAATCCAAACCCCAACATGCTGAGCGTTCAAAACAATGAAACTTGAGCTTTGTCCCAAACCAATCCAAAAACCGAGCCAATTCTCCCAAACCGAGCCACTTTTTCACCAAAACGGAGCCTGTTTTTCCCAAAAACGGAGCTTCACAACCCGGGCGGTGGCTGATTTTCCCAAAGTCTGTGGCAGATTTTCCTAAAGTCTGTGGCAGATTTTTCCCAAAGTCTGTGGCGGATTTCCCCAAAATCGGTGGCTGATTTTCCCAAAATCGGTGACGGATTTCCCCAAAATCGGTGACAGATTTCCGCAATTCGACGGATTTCGTGCCAAAGTGGGTGGCTGATTTTCAGCAAAATGGATGGTAGATTTTCCCGATTGGTGGCAGGTCTCCATGAAGCTTGGATGTGTGGATTGATTTGTGCCATGCTCGTGGCTTTTCTTCTGAGAGCAGGGTTTTGCAATCCTTTCCTGATGTGCGACCGAACAGCACAAACATCATTTGGTTGTATATATGTGTTTTACAAGATATAGATGATGTTTGACATAAAAATAGTTACAAAACATGTATATGCATCAACCTTGGTGTCATGCACATACATTATACTTGTCTAGACCTGCAATGTTCCCATGGCAAAACGCCGCTTCAAGATCTTTGCACTGGCTTTGTCCATTCTAGTTGGTAAGTTTTTTCTTGGCTTTGATTGAGATACCTCGAACGACGCAAGACAGATACAAGCGTTCAAGCAAGACTGCAAGGTCGGCAGAGGCTCCTTGGTTGGCAACATTTCTTGACCCAATTGCCAGTGTGGCAGGCATATCATTGAAGGACATTGGAAAGCAAGTTTTGGATGCAAACAACAATTTTCGTCCGATTGAAAAGCTGAAACTATTGGAGAATGTCAACGATGCCCACCACCACGCAAGACTCCTTGCGGACAAACTGATGGATAGAGCCAAGATGCCACAGGAAGCCCGAAACATCTTTGTGCCCAACATCTCAATACCACTCATCCCCGTGAATGGCACAGAGTTTCAGCATTTGGTGACGAGTGTGCTATCCGATACGACCTCCACGGGAGTCTCTGCGATTCATGCGGAACCCGGCACGGGCAAGTCCGTTGCGGTAGCTTTAGCCATGCTGATGTGGGCAAAACACAACCCAAAGTGCATCACTGTTTTGATACAAGAAAACCTGAAACTTCTCAAAGATTTCTTTCGAGTTAGCGATGAAGCCTACGTGCCGGCTGTTGCAGCAAACCTTTTTTGATTCTTGTCAAACGCGGGAGTTCGCTTGCAATTGGTTGTTGACAACATCTTTGACAAGGAACTCGGTGAGCGTGGGGGGATGTTGATGAGCCTTGCCCGCGCCGCCTTCAAACATGGACAAGTTGTGGTCTTCACGCAGTCGCGTGAAGTTGCTGAGGAAGTTGGTTTGCTCAATGGGGCACGAACACGTGTATCGCCACAGCAGAAGTGCAATGTCAGCAAGTACAGATGGAATGAGATACAGGCATACAGACTCCTTCTGAATTTGAACGCAACTGCAAAGCTGGAGGACTGGAGAAAGTCCCGCAAAACACGGTGGTGGCGCAAGATGTTACATGCATTCACGAGAACCACCAAGGAGTCGGAGGACACAGTCCAGAGAGCCTTAAATGAATCCCTCAAAGAGTTCAAGCAGGATGAGGCTTGGGTGCAGGAGAATTTGGAAGGGATGCCTGACGGTGGATGGAAGCCAGTGGATATCGAGCAATTTCTGCTATCAGGCATCAAACCAGTCTTAATCCCAACTGTTGCAGGCGGGGACTGAAGGGAAAGGGCTGGCTTGGAAGAACATCGCATGAAGAATGTGAGAAAGCATTCTACTTGCAGATGAGCAGGGATGTTTTTTGTTTTTAATGTAAAGTTTTCGTTTTTTCCGCTTTGTCGCAAACGCTCCTGACTATACACAATAGCTGACCAAAGTAAGACCTTGCAAAGACCCAACTTGTCATCTTCGTGCCCTGCAAGGTGCCACCTCTCCAACTCAGACCAAAGCTGTTTGGGTGAGGCAACTGCAAAAGGACTGACAACAGTTGCAGACAACAAGGTACACAACTCATCTTTAGAATGCCTTTGGTGAACGCTCCTTTCGGTTTAGGACAATGGATTCTGAACGCTCCCCACCTCAAGTTCAAAATTCCTCCAAGTGAAAAAGAAGGATGGAATTGGTTTGATTGAGCTTTTGTTCACAACAATATAGGTTGAGGGTGTTCACACGATGCTGATTGTGGGAAAGTCCGCTACGCAAGACATTACCTTGACATTGTATGTTCTTGCTGCGGTTCAGTCTTTTAGGGAGAAGATAACAGGGTTGTTCATTCCTCAAGATTTGTTGATGATATCTTCCCAACATTTGCCTTAAATTGGTAGAGAGGATTTAGACTAAAGACGTTTGTGCGATTTTCTGCCATGCCCTTGTTCCTTTTAAGCCATGCCCCAAGTCAAGCATGTGATCATGTGTAAGCCCGCTATTGAAAATTATACCCTGTAATTTCATGTTCTTGACGCGGCTCAGCACTTTTTGGGGAGAAGATCGCAGGGTTGTTCATTCCTCAAGATTTGTTAAAAGATGTATTCCAAACATCGTCCTCAATTTGATAGAGAGGATTTAGACTAAAGACTTTGTATGATGTTTTGCCGTGCCTGTGCCATGTCCATTTGACTGTTCCCACCTCAACATCTCACCTTTTGAGTGGTACAGCAAGTGTTGAACAAGCAGCCTTGTCATCCCTAGTTCCTTTCGTGTGTTGCTTTGCACGGTTCGTGTGCTAAAAACGGTGTTGATTGGTCTTGTGAATAAAAGCAGGCTTGTGCTCCATCAATTCTCCCACTCAAGCGTCAAAAGCATTGTTTTATGCAAGAGCCAATGCAACAGTTTATGCCTTTGTTCCTTTTGCAAGTTCCTCTGACTAGTGTTAGGTTAAAATACAAGTAAAATACAAGTGACAAGTGGTTTGTTCAGCCTTCTTTCTGGCATCCTTTGCCTTGTTGCGTTTTGCTTCAGCACGGTTGGGGCGATTGCATGGTTGTTTACTTGGATGTCTTCATATTCAACTTCGAAAGGACTTAGACGCAACATATTGTTTCTTTGCCCTTTGCTTGTTCCTTTGCCATGTTCTTTTGAGGGAAGTAAATGTTGTATGCATAAAATACTAACAGTAGCGTATTTATTCCTCAGGATTTGTTGAATGATATCTTCTCAACATCTTGCTCAATTTGATAGAGAGGATTTAGACTAAGACTTTGTATGATGTTTTGCCATGCCCTTGTTCCTTTGCGGTGCCCTTTTGCCAGGTGTAGGAAGAACTTTTATTGACGAAAAACACGAAAAGTCCCACCTCAACATCAAAGACGTTGAAACTTACAAATCTGTTGAAGAAGCAACCTTGTTTTTACATCCCTATGGTTGTTTTGTTTCTTCCTCTGCAAAGTTCCTGTGCGAAAACCGGTGTTGATTGGTCGTGTTCCGATGAGATGTGACAGTGATCGCGCATACTTTCACCATGTTTGCAGGTAAGAGATATACAGGAGCCGGAGACGCAGCAAAGGGTGTGCTGGATGTTGTAGTCCAAGCAAAACAATTAAACATTGAAAACTTTGTTAACAAGACCACTAGGAGTGGTAGGATCCCCAGTCTCATTGTGGATGAGGCAAATTTGGCATTGCCCGGACTAGGTGAAGATGCGAACACGGCGGCCAAGTCAGCTCTACAAGCCGTCACAAAATGGACGAAGCAGACAAAGCAAGCAAGTGTCCTGCTGATATCTTCAGAGTTTGGGTATCCCTTCCGCCTGCAAGCTGCAGGGTTAGACCTCAGAGACATCGGCAAAGTCATTATCATAGGTGAAGTGCCACAGTCCGACATGAAGAAGATGCTGCAGGATGATTGGGGCATGGACGCAGACTTGGCAGACATGTTCTACAACTACTTCGGCGGCGACATTTACACCGCCAAGCAGGCTTTGGAGAGCCTCAATCGGAAGAAAGATACCTTCGACCCCTTTGCGGTTGTGCGATGTCCCGGGCTGCCTTCGTGTGTGGAAAATGCAGCGGCCAGGGCTCACCTCGAGAACATCGCGAAGCAAGGCTTCTCTTTGGTGAAGAATGTGAAGACAGACGAAGGTGCAAGAACGATTGCGGAGGAGAACGTGGGCGGGGTCATCGACAAGGATGCCATCGCATTTGGTTTGCCACCCATCTTCACCGGCACAGACAAGGAATGGGCTGTCATCCCATCGTCCTATCACATGAAGCTGCTGATTGCCCGCAAGCTCCAACAAATTCCTTTGCCAACATCAGGACGGTGTTTCAGAAACAGGTTCTCTTTCGTGTTTGGTTCTGTTTTGCGCACGCTGTTCGAAAGAGGAGGTGGATGGAGGTTGAATAAACTTGTTGAGTTATATATATATATTACGAAAGCCAGCTCTTAGAAAGCCAGCCGATAGGCTAGGCTTGAACTCTTAGACCGAACGAAGTGAGTTAAGGGGGTGTGGGGGGGGTAGGCCGGGAAAGGCACCGTTTGAGAGGGTGAAGCCGGAGCTTGCCTGGGGAGAGCGCTCCAAAGCGAGGGTCAGAAAAGCAGTGAAAAGGGGTTTGGTGATGCGAGTGATGCAATGGACGCCGAGTAGTGCATCATAGCATCACGAAGGGCTCCGGTGAGCACTTTTCTAGCCTCGGACGGGCTGCTGGGAACGGTGAGGCACGTCAGCGTGCACGCAAAGGTATGCGGCTAGTTGGGTATGAACCTAAAGCATGCACACCAAAACGTTGGACATCCTGCACCCCATCGCTTGAGTCAAGCTCTCAAAAGCAAGGATATCGACATGTCCTGGCCAAGCATGCACGACCGGGCAATTTGCATTCGTTGTTGGACTTCAATCAAAGAAGCTATATAGATGGTATTGACTGGACCAGCAAAGCAGGTAAAACATGCTGAGACATATAGTTCCTGCCATCCTCCTGGTCATCCTTTCAGAGAAGTCTGGTTGGATGTATTGGTGCTAGTATGGTAGTTGGTTGGCAGCGACAAGTTGCTATCAGAAAAGGACCCCGTGTAGATAGCAACTTCTCTGTGTCTTATGTCTCTGCGTTTTCTGACTCTATGTCTCTATGTCTTTATGGTTTTGTGTCTCTATGTCTCCGGGAGGTCAAGGCAATGGGCAGCCAGGGATTGGGCAAGGCAATGGTCAACC